CGGATCCTTGAAAGAGGAGAGGGCTCCTGCTGTTCCTGCTTCATGGCATCTACCGTGAAGATGGGGTGGCTCCCTCCCCAGAGGGCGAATGGCTTTCCAAACATTGGACCAGTTCATCTACACAACATCCCTGAGAAGCAAATAGCATCAGGCCCAGTTTATAGACGCTGAAACTGAGTTCCAGAGAAACTAAATAACTTACCCGCGTTACGAAGCCAGGGAGTGGCTGAGCCAAGCCTTCCTCCCAGATTGGATGGACCCCAAGCCCAAGCTCTTCGCCACTTTGCAATTGAACTTGAGCAGGGCCTAATCCTATTTTGGTGATCGTGTCAATCATCCTAACATCTGATCTAAGCTAATTCAAGAGGTAATAATTAACCCCACCCTTTCCCAGCCCCTCCCAGGGGAAGGCCCTGAGGTCCTTTATTGAAGACTCAGTCCTGCCATTTTCTGAGCCACTCAGACAACATTCATTTGTTCGTTCGTTCGTTCATTCATTCAGCAAATATGCGTGAGCACAGCTGTGTCCCAGCAACCATGTAGTCACTGGTTTCTGAGGGTCTGTAAGTCATGAGCTGGCCCTGGAAGCATTCACGGTCTGGTAAGGAGAGAGGTGAACAGGATGGGTGAGGAACCTGCCGCCTTTGCGGGCTGCAAAGTGCAGAAGCCCCAGGTGTTCTCAGTTGAGAGGAAGACGGTCTATTCTGGGCCTCTCTCTCCAGCAGTCTCCATGGGTACCACATCATAATAACTAATTAGACGAGATCAGGGGCAAATCAAGTGTCCATCTCAATCTTTGATGTCATCTGCTTCCAACCTTTTACCCACTTGCATTTATTTCATTCATTCATTCAACACTAACCATATACCTCTAAGGCTCTGACTTGAATGAATGAGTTAATAATAATCATCATCGTAACAACCACCAAAAGACCACCAACATTCACAGAGAATGTGTTTTGTGCCAGGCACTGTTCTAAGCACTTCACACGTATTCATTCCTTTGGTCCACAACAGGCTTGAGGAAGGTATTGTTTATTGTTCCCTGTACAGGATGAGGAAACTGAGGCAGAGAAAGGATGAGGATTTTGCCTACTGAAAATGGCACTTGGCAGATAGGTCATCATCAGATTTCTGGGTGATCCAAAGACAACCAGATCTGAGAGTTAAGCTCCTTGCCCAGGGCAGGCCACGTCTTCTGCTTCTGGTCCCTGATTCTAGCATCAATCTTTCACATCCTGGTGCTTCTTATATAAGGCCCCGGGAAAATAAGCACTGGTCAGGCCCAGAGCCCGCAGGCCAGCTTGAAGACAGGCCTGGCTGGACTAAATGCTCAGAAGCGAGGTGTGTGGGACCCCCAATGGCTCCAGAACAGGAGGAGGTCTCTGCGAAACACTGCAGGTGGACATGACTCCTGTCCCCCTCTGGCCTCCTCCCGCCATCCAGAACACCTCTCCCTCATCCGTGATCACGGGAGGGCAGGTGCCAAGTCAGACGAGAATATCATGGGGTTTGAGCAGGACGGGGTGCCACGAAAGGCCCCTTCTCATCCAGGGGTAGTGGAAGTTTGGGGACAGAGGCGGAGGGTCCTCACTGTGAAATACAGGCGGGCTATATCCATTTGTCAGTTTCACGAGAGCCCCGGGACAGGAGCCCTTCTCTTCCTCACCTGTCCAACCCGGGCGTCAGCTCCCCCAGGAAGCCGTCCTGACTCTCCAACCCTTGCTTCCTCCCAGACTTTTCCACTGTAAGACCACAGACTCCGAAGGCGCCCTGGAGATCACCTTGATGGGAAACCAAGACCACCCCAAGGACAGAGTCCTCACTTAGCACGCAAACCCTCGTGCCCTCTGGCCCTGACCGTCACCCTGGCTCCTTCCGATACCCTATGAGTCTTCCGCGCTTTTCCCGGAACCAGGCGGGGTCATGTGGTTGCCTGCCAGCCTGCTTTCTCCTGCCCCCTCACCTGCTCCTGGAGTCATAGCACGAGGGGAGAGGTCTCCTGTGGGGGTCCCCACAGGGAGAACTGCCTTTGAGTTTGTTCCAGAAACGTGGGATCAGAGGAGCTTGGGACTCAGAGGGGCTCAGAGGGGCCTGCTCCAAGTCTGGGGTCCGATGCTCTGAGAGGCAAAACCTGGAACTTCTCTCTGATTGCAGGTATGGTGGGGAGTCTGTATGCCAGGACTGAGTCTAGCGTTGGCGGGGGGAGGTCCGTAGGCGCTTCGCACACAATACTCTGATCTTTACGTCAGCCTGGGTGGATGTGAAATTAGCGGTGGTGTCGAGACTTGAACCCAGGGCATCTGCTTCGAAGGCTAGGACTCTTCCACCTGCACCATGCCACTTCTTGCTCTGGAAGATTCTCAGAGAGGCCTGAGGCTCAAACACAAGGGTGGTGTCCTCTGTCTCCCAGGAGTCCTGGACACGCTGAGCATAGGAGGAGACCTCAGAGGCCTGTTTCTGCATCCTTGTGTGTCCCATTCGCATGTCCCTGACTTCTGGACAGGCTGCGCCTGAGCCAACAAGAAGCTACCCTCCCAGGCACCTGTGGCTGCCCGCCGTCCTGTTTCCGCACTTGATTCAGTTGGCGCCACGATGCTGCTGTTTTCCTTCCGTTGTTTTCATGCGGAGGAGTCACCTCCTTCCAGATCCGGAAAGGAGGTTAGAAGAAAACGGCTCGGCAGCTGGCTGAGACGCACTCGTCCCGATTGTCGGCCAACGCAGGGCTGTTTGGATTGGGTTTCCATATGGTGTCGTGACAGGCCTGGCTTCTCCGTCAGCATCGGGAAGGGGAGGGTTGACTTCTCCAGGAGCAACCTTCCCTCCGTCAGTGGGGAATAGTCGTTGCCAGTACACGTCCCAGCCCCCAACACTCAGGACTGTTCTGAGGTGCATTTGACATGGTTCCTCAGAGGGTCCCTGGCCAGATCGAGCCCCAGTGCCCACACCAGTGACCGGCTCCCTGATGCCCACATGGCTGGCATTCTCTTCTGTCCTGTCTCACTCCCTCACACCCTCACTGTCACCTCCTGGGCTCACCTCCCAAGTAAACTCCCTGAACCCAAATCCTTGTCTCAGGCTCTGCTTTAGGGGGAAGCGAAGCTAAGACCACTGTGTGAGCCAGGCCGGTGGGGAGCGTGAGTAGGAGGAGGGTGAAGCCCAGCTTCAGAGTCAGGAGATCTGAGCTCCCATCCTACATCACTGTTTTGTTGGCACCTCACATGATAAAAGTTAGTGGCTTGAATCCATGAACGAGAGCAGGAATGGTGGATATGACTTTGCTGATCTGGAAACTTTGGTTGGCTTTTTTTTTCTGAGAAAGATTTGCCCTGAGATGACATCCATGCCAATCTTCCTCTATTTTTTAGTACGTGGGCCTCCAGCACAGCGTGGCCACTAACAGAGCGGTGTAAGTCCGCGACAGGGAACCAGACCTGGGCTGCTGAAGTGGAGCGTGCTGAACTTAACCACTAGGCCGCTGCAGCTGGCGTGTGGTTGGCATTTTTAGGACTCCCCAACAATTTCTGGACATACACTGTCAACCCCCATTGATGCCAGCCCCACCTCTTGAATTAAGTGTGACTGTGCGGCTTTCTTTGGCCAAGGAAATATGAGCAGAAGTGACGCATCTCACTTCTGGGTGGAAGCAGTTCAGAGCCAGGTACCCCCTGTTCCCTTCCTCCCCTCGCCAACCCCAATGCCATGTGTTGGGAAAGAAGTGTCAGAAGCTTGAAGCAGTTTGATTGCTGAGTTGCCCTGCAGGTGACGGTGAACCTGGAGTTGCTGGACTGGCAATGGATGTCTTTCTGTGAGTGAGAAACAAATGTGTCATTTTGAGATTGAAGGGGTCTTACTTGTTACTGCAGCATGACCCAGCTCATCCTGACTGATGCACAAACCAACAACCAAGGGGGCAGATGGGCCTGGAACCAGGCATTTCCTCTCAGTCCAGGTAACTCTTGTCCCTGATAGAGGCCACTACTCATTTCCCTGTGCTTGGAAGCAAGGCAGTGCGACCAGAGGGGCGGCCACTTCCATTCTATTCCAGCTGGCCAATCTCAGGCGAGCTCCTTAAAGGTCCTGTCCCTAGCCCCCCACCTGGCCTCAGTTTACCCATTTATACAAAGAAGAGGGCAGATGCGATTGGTGGTTCTGTACTCTGCAGAGCCCCTGGTCCCACAGAAGTCATGGGCTGGGGATGGCAGAGGGTGGCAGGGCTCCCCGTCCTCCTCCTGCAAACAGGACTCCTCCTCCTGCAGCAGTTTTGCATCTGGGGGTTTTCACGTTAGAGGATCCAGTGACAGCAGTTTCAGGAACACCGGCCTGCATGATCTGTGACTTCACGACAAGGACATTGTACCTGCAGACACCTGAATTCATCTGTTCCCACCCAGCCCTGTCCAAATGTGACGTTCCAGGGCCCTCCGCCCTGACTCTCAGCCATCCTGCGAATGCTCAGCTCTCTGGTGTGAACCATACAAAGAGGACACCTTCTGTGGCAGTGGCTTGTGTGTCCAGAGTACATGAGCCACCAGGTGCCCATGTGGCTCTTTTTCTTTTTTTACTGAGGTCATATTGATTTATAACATTGTGTAATTTCAGGTGTACATTATTATTTATCAGTTTCTGTATAGACTGCTTTGTGCTCACCACCAATAGTCTTGTTTTTATCAGTCATCATACAAATGTGCCCCTGTACCCTTCTGCCCACCCCCCCAACTCCCACCCCCTCCCTTCCCCTCTGGTAACCACTAATTTGTTCTCTTTGTCCATGTGTTAGTTTATCTTCTACATACGAGTGAAATCATATGGCATTTGTCTCTGTCTGACTTATTTCACTTAACATCACACCCTCCAGGTCCATCCACGTTGTTGTGAATGGGACGATTTTGCCTTTTTTATGGCTGAGTAGTATTCCATTGTATGTATGGACCACATCTTCTTTATCTAGTCGTCAGTCGATGGGCACTTGCACTGCATCTACATCTTGGCTATTGTGAGCAATGCTACAATGAACATGGGGGTGCATGAGTCTCTTTGATTGTTGATTTCAAGTTCTTTGGATAAATACCCATGTGGCTCTTGATGGGTCCACCAAACACAGAGCTTCACCTTGGCTGTCAGTCTCACCGCGTCACCACGTTCAGTGTGAAGAGCATGGGACCCGGGGTCTGGAGACCTGGTCTCTAACCCCACCTCCATCGCCCTCTCACTGAGTGACTCAGTTTTCTTTGCTGTGAAAGAATAATACCAAACAGTCGGGAGCTGGGGCAGCGCTGTGCTAAGCAGGTGACATGCGATAATAAAGGGTGTGCCACGTGAGGAGGGGACGAGGGAAGCGTGGGGCATTTGTCTGCAAGAGACGAGCAGAGGGGGCACGAGAGCTGGCTCCAAAACTCCGTGAGACTCTAACAGGAGGGAGGTCAGATGTTATTTTCCATCATAGCAGTGTTTTCTCCTTGTTTATCTAGAACGTGTTTATCTAGAGCCCCAGGAGGACAGGCGGCAACCTCGGCTGTCTTGTTCGCTGCCGTGTCGAGAACAGAGGTGGTACACAGTAGGTGCTCACTAAATGTTTATCAAGTGATAAAACTTGTGCTGCGTGGCTTCCAAGGGATGAAAATTCCAGGGAGCCCATTGATTTCTCTCTGCTTCCCCCCGCCAACAGTTCCGTTCATCCCTCCCTCCCCTGCCCTGTACCCCCTCCACTTCCCTAAGTCAGCCGCTTCCTCTCTTAACTGGAGTCAACTTCCTGCTGCTCAGGGTGGGGTGGTGGCTCAAATGGACCTAATCAGGCTGATGGAAATCAGGCGACTAATTAGCCAGGGAGGGTGGAGGCGGGTGGCTGCTGAGCTGAGCTGAGCAACAAAAGGAAATTACCCCCCAGAAAGGGAACAGCACCCTCACCCCGCTCCACACCCTTCATCCAGCACCATGAGCCATGAGCTGTTGGCTCATGCAATCCTTATGTTGGCGCCAGTTGGAGGTTGGGGGTGAATCAGAGCTCACAGCAATTGCAAGTTAATTTCAAGGTATGATGTGCAGGGTGGGCTCAGGGTGGGGGAAGGTGTCCTGTTTTGACCTGGAGGTAAGCAGGATTGAACTGATTCCACAACTGGGAAGAGGAAACCGCAAAGCCATGGTCTTCTTGGGTTGTATTACTAGAAGTCTATCACCCAATACAAAGGAGGGGATAGTCCACCATGGGCCAGGCTGACTAACCCTCACTTTGCTGCCCTCCTGAGGACTGGAGAACTGTCCTGGGCCCAGGACCTCCCAGCTGGGTCTGCACAGACTCAGTGCCAGAGCTGGAAGCCTTTGGAGTTCAACAGACAAGGGGTTCAGATCCCGCCTCCATCCCCGGTGTGACACTAGGCAAGCCATGAACTTCCTGAGCTTCACTTTCTAAATGTGTGAAAAGGTGGCTGAGGATGCTCAGCTCTTGTTGCAAAGATTAGGTTAAGTCATAGAGATACAGAGTCTAGCCCAGCGCCTGGCACAGGCAGGTGCTCCAGGTATGTCAGTTCCCTCCCCAAGCCCCTCTGCTCAGTGCCGGCCTCGCTCCCCATACAGCCTGGTCTCCAGGGGCCCGTCTATGAGATGGATCCCGAGTCAGGATGGAATTCACAGCGTCCACAGACTCGGTCTCATTTGACCCTCCCTCTAGTGCTGAGGTAGGAATCGTCTGCATTTTACAGATGTGGACAGTGAGGTGCCGCTTTGCCAAGATCCTACCGGTGGTGAGTGGCAGGTCTGGGAGCCCATTTTTGATTCAGGACCATGTTTATAACCACTCTACAAACGGGTGCGTGGAAGGTTCAGCAACAGCATCGAGGACGGAGTGATTAGCTCTGGAGTGTTCAAGAGGACTTCTTGGAGGAGGTGACACCTGAACAGAAATCTGAAGAATAAAGGAGATTTCAGCTGGCAGGTGAGAGTGGGAAATGCAATTTCAGATGGAGCGCACAGCCCCAGCCCAGGGATGGAGGTAGGAGGAGGAGGTGGCAGACTGGTGGGTGGCGGGGGTGGGGGAGAGGCGGGGGTGGGAAGACAGGGAGAGAGACCAGTTGGGAGATGGCTACTGCGATGGGGTGGGGAGGAAGTAGGGGGATGGCACGGAGCAGGGTGGAAGCCTTAGAATGGAAAGTTGTGGATGGATCTAGGGCCTTGTGAGTGGGTAGTGGTGGCTGGGGATGGAGGGTGAGGGAGGGGTGGGGGTGAAGCCAGGGTTCAGACTCAGGTGGTCAAATGGATGGCACTGCACCTTGCTGCAATCCAGAAGGCTTGGGGTAAAGGAGGGCAGAGCTGGCGAGGGTAAGGGCCAGGTGGAGATGTCCAGATGTCCAGTGCTGGACGAGCACTCGAGAGATACTGATGCTACGGGGGAAGGGGTGGAGCGAGGCCAGTGGAGGGTGGAGGATGGGAAGCATGAGGACACTGAGACATAAGGGACAGGTGGAGGACAAGCCCACAGGTGTGTTGGAGCCCGCTGTTCTCCTGACCCTGCAGATGTGTCTCTGATACCAAGATTCTTTCCTCTTTGGAGTCCGAGGATGCTGGAGACCCAGGTCCCACGGGCCCTCAGCCCCTCTTCCCAGCTCACCGCCGTGACTCATGCCCTTGCACTTCTGGGAGCCTGGAACTATGTAAACCCAGATCCCACCAGGCCCACAGCTGACGCCTCCCTAGCCTTCCTAGTCACGTGGTCTAATTATGGGATAAGACCTTCCTCACTTTTTTTTAATTTGCTTAAGTTCATGGGTTAAGTTTCTGTCTTCTGTGGGAAAGAATTCTCGCTAATACACACCCCAAGGCTGACGTCTCTGGGATGCCATTCTTGAGTCCTGATGTGAAAACTTGGTTTTAAAGATTTTTCCAGAATCACCCAGGCACTCACAGCCCTGAGTCTGCACCAGTTTCCCTGGGTGTATTCTGTTAATATTAGTTATCTATTACTGTGTAACGTATTACCTCAAAATGCAATGGCTTACAACAACAATAAAGTTTACCATCCCACAGTTTCTGAGGGGTAGGAATCCTGCAGAGGCTTTGCTGGGTGGCTCTGGCTCAGGGTCTTCTGTGAGATGGCAGCAAACACCAACCTGAGCAGCAGGCTCATCTGAAGGCTTGACGGAGGCTGGAGCATCTGCATCCATGCTGGCTCACTCACACGAATGAAAAATTGGTGCTGGCTGTTGGCAGGAGGCCTCAGTTCCTTGCTCCGTGGGCTTCTCCCTGGGGCTGCTGGAGTGTCCTCGTGACATGGCAGCTGACTTCCCCCAGAGAGAATGATCCCGTTATGACCTGGCCTCAGAAGTCATCGCCTGCCACTTTTGCTATATCCTGCTGTTCACATAGGTCAGCCCCGTTCATTGTAGGGAGGACTACACAGGGGTGTGAATACCGGGAGTCGAGGCTTAGTGGGGGCCATCTTAAGGGGCACAGAACAGGGCCACCTGGTGGCTGTGACGAGGGCACCCTCCCAGCCCCGCTGCCATCCTGGAGAGGAAGGCTTGCCCTGCCCCACTCTGCATGCGTCAGTCTCGTCCAGAAGGGAAGTAGCACCATCTCTTCCACCTGGTGGGTTGCTGCCCCAACCCTCCCGCAGAGCTACGGGGCCAGCGGACCCAGAGGAGAACAGCCTCAGCCCTAGCTCAACACCATGGCAATGAGCTCACTGCCTCTCTCTCCCTGCTGAGTGCGGAAGGCATGGTGATGGCCGTCTTGGGGTATTACCGTAACTGCGGTGGGTTCTTTGGTTTTCCTCTCTGACACGGGTGTCAGGAGCGATGACAGGTGTTAGACCAGAGGGGCAGGATTGGGGTCCCTTGTGGTGGGACACGGGCCAAAGCTACTCTTTCTAACGCAAAGCTGCTCCTAACAGGAAATGAGCAGGAACCAGGGCTGTTTTAAAAATCTCATTTCAAGAAAGTGGTGTAGGAGGGAGCACGGGCCATGGACAGACGGGCTCCAATCACGGAGTACTGGTTTTTGTTGGCCAAGACAACCGACGTGCTGATCCTCAGTTTCACATCTGTAAAGTGGGGATAACCCTAGTGCCTGACTGTTGCGTTGAGTGAGAAAACCTGTGTCAAAGTCGCAGCACACACCTGACCCCGAAGGCGGCCTCGTACCGATGTTGGTAAGCTTACATCTGTGAGAGGAAGGGCGGCAGTCTGATTCCTACAGAGGAGGGAGGAGGAACTGAGGCAGGATCGGAACTCGGTTCTGTTGACCTGCTTCCTTCCCTCTCCTCACTGCCCCCCGGGGCTGCAGGGGGTCCTTGACGCCTCCCTCAGTGTCCCCCAGCAACCCTCCCACTTCGGGGCGGGAGAGGTGCTACATTATAGATTGTTCTCTGTTCCTCCCCTGCTCAAAATCCTTCAGTGGCTCCTCCTGGTGGAAGCCATGCCCTGTCCCGTAGGAAGCTCTACCAGATTCCCAGGCTTGGGGGCATGGGGAGGGACGTTTATCAAACTCCAGTTGCCCCCTCAGAGATTCTGATCATCTCCCCACCCCCACGCCCCACAGTCTTGCCCTTTTGACGCCCTATTACGCTGGGAGAGGATCCTACCCATCAGGTAACCTGAGGCAGAAAAAGAAAAAATAAATACGTTGAAAACCATTGGTGTCCACTACAGACTCGACGGGAATAACACCCCCAAATTCCTAAGCCTCTCCCTTAAGAGAGTGTGAGAGTCACCTCCGACCAGGACATGGGCCACCACGTGCATCTCTGCAGCCCCTCCCCATCCAACCTGGCACGTGGGACCTTCTCAGTCGGCTGACCGACCGGAGTCGCTTTGGGAAGGGTGCCTGGAACAGCTGTGTCCTTGGCTTCCATTTCTCAGGGCAGGAGGCTGGGCTGGAGGAAGCCAGGCGGCTCGGCTGGGTGCGGGTCGTGGCCGGGGCTGGGGGTCCGGAGTAGGAAGGCGCTCATTGCCTAGACACAGGGCCTGAGAGGCTCCGGGTTCCTGGGCTGGGGGGTGAAGCCTGCTGTTTGCTCAGCCTCCACTCCCAATCCCCGCTCACAGGTTGCCTGGCAACCATTGTTCATTTAATCACCACTGACTTTGAAAATAAAAATCAATTTCCTTCATGACGTGAGCCAGGGGCCATATTAACCCCTATGTTTAAACAGCCCAATTTTATTGTTCAAAGATTTATGAGCAAGGATGTACACAGAGCATTATTCATAATAGGAAAAGTTTTTTGGAGCGGTGGAACCTAAATGTTTGTCAGAGGGGTGTGATTAAATTAAGGCCCTTTCTCACCACAGAATATTCCTCAGCTAATAAATAACCAAGCCGGAGATCTATGTGTGCCGACAGAGAAACACTCTCATAACGTAAGCGAGAAACAACAAGCAGCTCTCAGAACAGTGTGTATGGTGTGTTCCAGTTTTTATTTCACAAAAAGTGTGTGTAGGCGAACACGTGTGCCCATCGATGAAAACACACTGGAATACACAGCAAAATATTAACCATGTCTTTCTCCGGGAAATGGGGTCGTAGGTAATTTTAACTTTCTTTCTGTCTTTCTGGATCATCTGATTTAAAAAATAAAACAAGCGTGTGTTATTTTTTCAATTTGCAAAACCGATAATGTCATTTCTTTTTTCAAATGGAGAATTCCAACTCTGGGGCCGAGGGGTCCTCAAGGGGCCAATGGGCGTTGAGACTACGTGGTCGGTAAGGGCCAGGCTGGGCCGGGCAGCAGAACAGGAGGAGAAAGGAGACCGACCCCTTCCCCAGGGCAACGAGGGCCTTCCCAACTAGTGGGCTCCCCCTTCTGGTCTCCGGGGGCGTCCAGGCCGAAGCTGGATGCTGAGGAGGGGGTGGGGCTGGGCGAGGTGCCTTCCAGGTTCCAGCAATTGGGGAGATTGAGGCAGCCCACTGAGAGGAAGGGAGAGGGAGGGCATGGACATCAGGCTGAGGCCAGCTGCACCAGGGTTGGGGGTCACAGAGAAGCCCCCCTCCTTTACCACTCCTCTTCCTCACCCGCTCCAGGCTGCTGTCCCCTCAGGCTCCCTCTTCGCTTCACACCCTGTCCCCTCCTGGGTGGTCTCATTCACTCTCGTGGCTTCAACCACCTCGTGCACATGGAGCATGCCCTCCTCTCCACAGCAGAGCCCATCCCTCCAGGCCGCCCCTCTTCTAAAAGCTATGATTGATCACGTCACTCTCTTGCCCAAGATCCTTCAGGGGCTTCCTCATGTCTGCAAAGAAGGAAGCAAAGCCCGTTAAGCCTGGCTCCAGTCCAAGCCCTCCCCCCTTCCATGCATCTTCGTCCTCGCTCTCTACCATGCCACACCTCCCTTGTCTACAGGACAAACTCCTATTTTGCCTTTAAGACCTGGCTCAAAGATCAACCTGCACACTGAAGCCCTCCTAAATTCTCCACACATTCCATATTTTTGGATCCCATAATCCTTCGTACATTCCCGGTCACAGCACTTGTCACACTCCAGCATTACTGATACTGACTTGTCTGTGTGCCATTCACAGCTTGTGAGCAACTGAAGGTAGATGGCTTATCAGTCTCAACTCCCAGCTCAAGGCTGGCACACAGAGACACTCAGAAAGCGCTGGTGGGTGGGTGAGTGGGTGGGTGGATGCATGGGTAGATGGTTGGATGGTTGGATGGATGAGTGGATGGGTGGGTGGGTGAATGGATGGATGATTGAATGGATGGATGGACGAATGAGTGGGCAGGTGGGTCGGTGAATGGATGGATGGGTAGGTGAATAGATGGATGGTTGGATGATAGATTGCATTACTTCCTTCAATATACAAATGTGTCATCTCTCCCATCCTAAAAACAAAACAAAAACTCCCTCAATCCTACACCTCCTCCTTCCCTTCATAGCAAAGCTCCTCAAGAGTTGTCCACTACATCTGTCTCCATTTCCTCTCCACTCATGCTTTCCTGTACCCCCTCCAATCAGGCTTTCACTGCTCCACCAAAACTGTGTTGGACACGGTCACCAATGACCTCCACGTTGCTAAATCCAGTGGTCAGTTCTCAGTCATCATCTTACCTGACTTTCACAACATTTGAGATGCCCCCTTTCTTTGAAACACGTTCTTCTCTTGGCTTCCAGAGAACTTTCCGCTCCTGGTTTTCCTCTTACTCCACTGTCTGCTGCTCCTCCTCTCCCCAGCCTTAGACCTTGGACCCCTTCTCTATCTAGTACATCTCCCTAGATGATCTCATCAGTTTTATGCAAACTCCTTACCCTCCCCCCAAAATGTGATCCTCTCACAACCTTCCCCATCTGAGGAATGACCACCCCATCCTTCCAGGCACTCAGGCCAGAGATCTTAGAGTCAACCTTGACTTCTTTCTCTCGCTCTCTCACCCTCATCCAGCATGTCAGTGTCCCTTGGCTTTGCCTTCAAAGCGTATTCAGAATCCAGCCACTTCTCACCATCTCCCCAGCTTCCCCTCTGACTCAAACACCCCTAGCATGTGCCTTCTAACCATTCACCCCGCCATTGTCTTTAGTACCCTCCTCTTTATTCTCAACGCAAAGTGATCCTTTTAAAACTTAACTCAGATCACGTCACTTCTCTGAGCAAAACCTTCCAACCGCTTCTTATCTCACTCAGGGTCAAAGCTGAGGTCCTTGCAATGGCCCTCAAGGCCCAGTGTGATCTGTGCCCCGCCCACTACTTCTCTGACCTCTTCCCCACTAGTCTTCCCCTGCTGTCTCCGTGCTGCTCCCCAAACATGTCAGATCCACTCCAGACCACGGAATTTGCACTCCTGGTTCCTTCTGCCTGGACTGCAAGGCTCCCAGACACCCTCCTGGCTCTTTCCTTCACCTACCTAGATCTGGACTCAAATGTCACCTTCTTAGTGAGGCCTTCCCTGCTCACCCTTAAAATTGCATTTCCAGCCCCACTGGCAGCACTCTGTTCCTCCTTCTCAGTGTCACTGTTCTCCATGACACTTACACAGCCGCCACACTTTATAACTCACTTGCTGGTTTGTCCGTTTCTATACTGTTGTCTCCCCCCTTTAGAATCTTAGCTCCATGAGGGGAGGGGTTTGGAGTTTTTGTTCCCTGCCGCATCTTCGGTGCCTAGAGGAGGGCACCGCATGCGGTAGTCTTCTTCTAAACATGAATGGAGTGAATGACCTTATTATTCCTCACGTAGCCCCATATGGCGAGTATTGCCATGCCCCCCCTTTTTTTGGATGAGGAAGCAGAAGCACAGAGGTTAGCGACCCATCAGTGGTCACTCATCACACCGTGGTGTAAACCAAGGCAGCCTGACTCCAGAGCAAGCATTCTAAGCACCATGTGCTACCATTCCGAGCCTCAGTGCCCCCATCTGTGAAATGGGGAGGATAATAACATGGCTGCTCTGGGCTCTCACGGGTTGTTTGAGGCTCATATGAAATAGTGTTTGTGAGTGAATGTTCTTTCCAACTGTAAAACTGTATGAAATGTTGATTATTGTCATTTCCCCTCTATTCTTAAGAATTAATGTGCCACGGGGCAGGAAATGAAACGAAGACCTCAGAAATCAGCTAATCTAACCCGTTATTTTACAGGCGGGGATGAGAGAGACATAAGTTTAGGACTCCCGGGTCATACTGGATGGATTTGGACAAAGAAACTTGGGCTGACCTCTCAGACCAGTATCTCCCTATGAGGAACATCCGCAAGGTCCATCTGTCTTTCAGTCCACATATCCTTCCCTTCATCCATCCATCCATCCATCCATCCATCCATCCAAGCATCATCCATCCTTCCATCATCTACCGATCCATTCATCCATCTTCTTATTCTTCCTTCTATCCATCCATCCTTCCAACCATCATTCATCTTTCCCTCCATTTATCCTTCCTTCTGTCCATCTATCCATCCTTTCATTCTTCCTTCCACCCACCTATCCTTTCAACCAATCATCATTCATCCCTCTATCCATTATCCACCCGTCCTTTCATTCTCTATTCATCCTTTGTTCTTTCCATCTGTTAGTCCATCCATCCTTTCACTCATCTGTTTATCCTCCATTCCTTCATTCATCCATCTATCCATCCAACCATTTTCCCAACTGTTCATCCTTCCATGCAGCCATCATTTTACACAGATCGTTTTCTGAGGGTCTGCTGTGCACCAGGCCCTGGGCTTGGAGCTGGGGACACAGAAATCAACAAGACATCTACCGTCTTGGAGCTGCTGCCAGCCTTGAGGAAGGGGAAGTGTAAAGAGAGAGTGTGGGAAAGCACCCAGCAAGGCTCTCGGCTCACGTAAGTGCTTAGGACCTGGAGCTCTGGGTATGAATAAGTAACTTGCTGGATGTCCCACACTAGTAAGTGGGGGAGCTGGCCCCAGACCCCAAGCTTTGAGTGATATTCTTCTTACCCCACCATGCTGTCTCTTTTCCCAGAGACTAGCCCAACCATTGTCAGCTGTGGGGAGAAAATACTAAAGGGGAAGTGCCAGAGCCAGGACTTCACACAATGAGGACACCATGCTGCCATCCTCATGGTGACCTCCACCCAGGGAACAGGCAGTGGGGGCTGGGTGCCAGCAGGCAAGAGGCTGCACAGTGGGAGGGAAGTTAATTCATTCGTCACACAGCCCAGCCAAGCTTTTCCCATTAAGCCCCTTTATCTCCCTGCAATAGCATCTGATCAACGCAATAGAAAGCAATTGGGTTAAGTGGTGAATTTAATCATGCTGCAGCCATTTGGAAACCACTTAACGCCTCTGACTGCAATCCTGCCCCGCTTACCTGGAAAGTACTCTTCTTCAAACACAGGGCTTGGTGCTCTCAGCTCCTGGTTTGTAGGAGGATAAAAACTACAGAACAACAGAGCTGAAAGACAGCTTGGGGAATGTCTTTCTGGGTCAGCCCTTTCATCCTGAAGAGATGAGAGAGGGGAAAACGTGATGAATTCTGCGTTTCGCATCTATTCCTCCCAGCAATACCATGGGCATAGGCACCTTCAGCTCACAGATGCTGCACCTGCCGCTCAGGGAGGGGAACTTGCTCACCTGAG